GAAGCCTCAGACTACGATTACTCGTCCGACGAGGGTGAGGGCGAACTCTTTGGTGGACCAGAGCCAAAGCAATTACAACAGCAGCAAGCGGCAACACAGGACGGCGATGCTGCTCAAGAAGAGAACCTCCAAGTACAACCACTGAAGGTGAATGGTGCAAAGAAGGATGGCCAAACCGAGGGTGATGCACGAAGCTCAAGCGAGGAGTCTGCGAAACGATCAGAAGACCGAGAAAGAGGAAGCGAAGACGCGGTAGATCGGCCTTTGGACCCCAAAGTCTCTCGCAATGGTACGCTGCGCAACACAGACTCTTTCTTCAAAGATGAAAATACCGAAACACGCAAGATCACACTTACTCCTAACCTGCTTCGCGACGACTCAAGCACGTCAACTACCGGCTCTCGCGAGCGTGGGCCTAGTCTGGAGAGTCTGGAAAAGAATGGTTTCGCGGATAAGGTCAAGGACGACAAAAAGAAGAAAGAGAAGAAGTCAGGTATGCTCAGTGGACTCTTCAAGCGCAAGGACAGGAAGGGTAAAGGTGCACAAGACTCCATGGACAGCGACATCGAGAAACCGGAAGAAGCGGATCGCAGCTCGCCACAATCAAAACCGTCAGACGAACTTGCAGAACGGTCGTCAGCTGAACAAGTGACAGCTCCAGCACCGTTGAGACAATTGAGTAAGCCCAAGGTGCACAGAAGTCACCGAGACGATTCGCCGCAGAAGACAAAGGGCATCTTGAAGACTGAAAGCCCAACAGAGCTGAGCGCTGAACCAGATGAGTTGGACAGTGTTGACAATCAGCCGGCTGCACAACAAGCTACTTCGACTATGCGTCTGGTATCACCTGAACAAGATGAGACAAGCAAGTCAACAACAGAAGACCAAACCAGGTCTCCAGACTCAACATCCAACACCACAAGCTCAAGAAACCCATTCAGTAATATCATGAAGCCTCAACAAGAAGGGGAAGTCAAGCGCGAGAAGGTTACAAAGGCGAAGCAGCGTGTGCAATTGGATGATTTCGACTCGGATGAAAGCAGCGATCCTTTCGCGGATCCTGATGCTCGGGACAAGCAGGGGGAAACTGAGAATGTAGAGTCTACAGGTCGTCTTTCCGAGTCGCCAGTTCACGTCTCCGCAGCGGATGCACAGCCCTTGCAGAAGGAAATTGTTGCCGACAGGGAAAAAGAGTCGGAGTCTCACCACGCTCCAGGTTTGTCTACTGATAGCTCAAGTCAAGAAACCAGCTCGCCAGTATCAACGCCTACACCTGACGACAGCCCCATGAAGACTATTCCTGAGAACAACACCCTTTCGACATTCAGGTCTGACAACACGTCATCGCCCACGCATCGTGCATCTGAACCGGTCGGTCCTCCGCCGTCAAGACCAGCACCCATCCCTACCAAAGATCGCGAACCCTCACCTCCTGTATCGGCAGAAAGCACAATGCTTTCTGCGTGGTCCGACGCCTCGCTTCGTGCCTACCTGGATGACGGTAGCGAGATCCGCGACATGCTCGTTGTTATCAATGACACCACAGGTGTTGTGCCAGTCGGCCGTGATCATCCTCTCATGAAGGACTATCTCGCTGAAGAGACCAAGACCATGCAAGGCCTGAGTGGCGAACTAGATCGTCTGCTTAATGGGCTCATGGAGAAGCGTATGAAGAGAGCAGGCAGTGGTGCTAGCACAGCACGCAGCACCAGTGCAAACGGGAGTTTGAGGGCGGGGTCTAGGTTCTAGATGCGCGTTTATTGTAAGTCGTATCTTTTTTGCGTCTTTTAGTATACCCTAGGGATTGTTTCTCTTTTCTCTTCTGGCGTTTTTGGGGAATTTTAGCACGCATTATGTGGAAACGAAATCTTGGGAGACCTCTTGGAGGATTGGTCGGATTGGGCTCACCTTCTTGTTCTCTTCTGATACCTTTTTCTTCCTTCACTGACTCCTTTTCGTCTGGTCTGCATCGTTCGCTCGTTGCGCGAAATGTGCATTCTTATATGAAGCCCTGGTGGTGGCTGGTTTATATCTTCACAACTGTCTCTAATACCCTTTCGATTGCTCTGTCATGGCGCTCGTTTCTTGTCGCTTTCCTTATTGGTGTCTGGGAATTAGCTCTGTTGCACTCAGCCGCATAGGCGCGCTTTACTTTCTTCGTGCGTGGCGTTGTATTGCTAGCATTTGTATGCCAACATGTACCCCCTGTGGGGGCTCGCCATACTCAACCTCCAGATATTGATGTCTCTGCGGTGTCAATAAGTTCCTCAGCAGTGATACGTATCAGCAACGTGTTCTTCTACCTCTGGTGTATCAAGAAATGGCTCAACGACATATGGCCAAAGTTCCAATCTCTGTTCAGAATGTCGGACCCAGGTCTGTGAGAAGTGATGGGAAGTTCGACTTGTGGGATACTTGGATCATGACGAAGACGATGCGTCAGAAAGTGCTGGTGCATGATCCGGCAGGTCGGAGAACGAAAAATGACTGTGACGGAAGATGTATATGACAAAGAGGACGTCATTGAAGGCAAATATCACAGGCCCCTAGCAATGCAGGAAATTCACATGTGCATAGTGAATGATAATTCTCGATGGTGCTTGAGGATTGACACTGTCGGGTGTGCCTCTCCATCTCTATGCGTACTATTCTCATACTTTCATCACTTCTGTCTGCAACGCTTTGATAGGCTTCTCGTCAAACGCTGCAGCCTGAGCCTCCTCAAGTCCCAGACTTTGCGCAATGTTGTATAACCTTGTCTTTTCCTCATGCGCAGTGCTATCGCCAAACACAGCATCCATCTCTTCCAAGCTCTTACCCCTTGTCTCAGGAATCAAGAACCATGTGAACACAAACGCAATCAAAGCGAAAGCGGCGAAGAAGATGTATGTGCCGAAACCGATGCTCTCGAGCATGTCTGGTGTGACAAGACCGATGATGAAGTTGCACATCCATGTCGATGAAGTAGTCAGAGACATGGCCTTTGACCGGTTACCGATGTTGTAGATCTCCGAGGGTAAGACCCAGCCAATTGGTGCCCACGAGTATGAGAAGTTTACGTCGTAGATGTAGATGAATGCAATGCCTGTCCAGCCAGCTGCGGGGTGGTCTTTGAGCGTTGATCCGTAACCGCCAATGACACCGCCAACGATCAAGAGAGAAATGCAAGTACCGGCAGCACCACAGAGAAGGAGAGGGCGGCGACCGATCTTGTCGATGAGGAACAGCGCTGGGAGCGTGGATAGCGTGTTAACTATCCCGTATACACCTGTTGCAAGCAAGCCAGTGGTCTTGCCAGAAAGACCCAACTGCGAGAAGATTGTAGGTGCATAGTAGATGATTGCCTGATCACGATGTTAGCTTGCTATCTATGTCAAGCAATGCGCGCAATCGGAACATACATTACACCCGATAAACTGCTGGAAGAACATGACACAGCAGCCAATGGCCGTACGCTTGAAGGACGGCCAGGTGGAGAAAAGGGTCGAGTAGCCAGCCAGGTACAACGATACCCCAGACTTGCCAGGAAACTTTTCGCGGTTGTATTGTTCTTCGAACATGACTTCAGCTTTGATAGAAAGATACTCTTTCTGTAGCAGTTCATCATCGGGGTTGGTGCGACGAACTCGGGCCAGCGCTCGGACACCAGCCTCTTCGTTGTCACGCATACAATAGTATCGAGGTGATTCGGGAAACAAAAGCATGCCGATACCGAGAACGAGACCAGGGAATATCTGGATGGCGAAAGGTACGCGCCATGCGGCGTCGCTTTGACCGGTGCAGCCGTTAGGGCCAACGTCGTTTCGTGGGTCGAAGGCAGGCTCGGCCGCAGTACCACCAGTATAGGCAATGTCGGGCGCGCAACGTACGCCTCCAATGTATTGAGTTCCAAATTCTAACCAGTACGATACGAGGATACCGAGCGTGATGGAAAGCTGTTGAAGAACAACTAGAGTACCTCTGATGCCGGCAATTGAGACCTCACTCATGTACATTGGAACGATCATCGTTAACATGCCAACAGCAAAACCGGCAATTGCGCGACCTAGATGCGGTGTTCAGCATGGATTGCAATCGTGTTTCTCAGAGTGTTTCATACCTGTAAAAGCCATCGGAATGTTTACTGCGCCAGCTTGGAGTGCAGAGCCGACGGTGAAGATGACAACAGCTATAATGATAGACCCTTTCCGACCGAAGCGATCGGCTACTGGTCCATTGACGAGAGAACCGAACCAAGCGGCAAGCAGTAATGTTGAAACGAACCAGCCCTTGAAAGAACTGTCTGTATAAATTCTGGGGAAGGATGCGGCAAAAGACTCCATGGTCAGCACTCCAGAGACAACACCCTGGTCATAACCAAAGAGGAAACCACCGAGGGAAGCGAACTATGCATGTTAGCTGAAACTGCAGGCACAGAAAGGTTCATTTCAACGGACCGCAGATAAACCAAGAAGGTATGGGTTTTGTCTTAGCTCTTTGTAGACACCAATCTTTGGCGCAGCGCCAATGGCAGTGACATCGTGAACCGAGGACATCTCTGCAGTGTTCCTTGTGAGTATGCCAACGTTGGTCTTGAAGAAGAAGGATCCAATGTGAGTAGGTGGTTTAGTGGTGGCAGCACCTCATGCTTATATACCCTTGGTGCACATCTCAACCCTTCATAAGTATAACTGGGATCGGACAGCTTCGGAGCACTGTCGTCCGACCCCACGATACTCCATGTGTCTGCGCCATTAGCCGTATATGTGATGCGGGTTCCCCGCGTGCCCACATGGTAAAGTTGCCTGATTCAGGTATGGAAATTGGGTCTCCAGCATGACTTGTGCTCGGAGGGATGTGGTCCGAACTCCACAACGCAAATGTGATCTTTAGATCATCGCGTGTCGCACGTAACGCTGTAGAACTTCTTGCTTTCTCCTGCATCTTTCGATTTGAACATCTCCCAAAAGTCTTTGCAGTTTATTGAGACTTTTCTCCAATCTATCGCAAGACAATCAGCAATGGCAGACGACTCCAGCAAGGACGCCTTACGTGCAGCCATACTTGATTTGGCCAAGCGCACGGAAAACCTTCTGTCTCGCCAAGCATCCGATCCCGGTCGTCGCATGCTTGTTGCGCTTGCAGGCGTGCCAGGCGCGGGGAAGTCGACGGTATCTGATGCGCTCATCACCGAGCTCACTGCTCGAGGCAATAAAGATGTTGCTGTTGTACCAATGGTAGGAGCTGGTCGCAATCAATGATGTAGCCTCTCTAATGATTGCTAGGACGGCTTCCACTACACGCGAGAAATCTTGTCAACATTTGACGATGCCGAAGTAGCGTTCAAAAGACGTGGAGCGCCATTCACATTCGATGCGAAAGCATGCGTGACTCTTGTCAAGGCACTCAAAGAAGCCGCTGTCACCAAGGATGGCGAAGCCGACATCTGCATTACTGCACCCAGCTTTGACCATGCTGCTAAAGACCCCGTGCCAGAAGCTATCAAGATATCCTCTCGCACGCGACTCGTGATTGTCGAAGGTAATTATACGCTTCTGAGACAGAATCCATGGAATGAGATTGCAGAAGTGTGTGACGAAAGGTTGGTGATACTCGTGAATGTTGCTCCTCAAGCGCGTATTGACATTCTGTAGGTGGTTTGTCGATGCGCCTGTAGACACCGTCCGCACACGCCTAGCGCAACGTCACCTTGCTGCTGGTATTGAGACTTCCATGTCAGCTGCTATTGCAAGAGCGGAAGAAAACGACATTCCAAACGGCGAATTGATACGGTCCTTGTTGGTCAAACCCGACGTGGTTATTGAAAATTGAGCAGCTCCTGCCTTTTCGATAGATCTCCGCTTCAGAACCCGGACGTCGTAAAATCCCAATCAAAAGAGTTGAATAACTCGTTGGACTCGATGGACCAGGGAAATGTGCTCAAAGCGTCTTTGGAAAGCTCCAGATCTTGCAGTCCGCCTGAATTTAAGTCGCCATCGGACACGACTTGGTCAAGAATCGCTACACAACGTGCTGATAATGAATCCCCAACAAGCCGTTCGCGAAAGGTGGTTCTCGCCAAGCGAACGTCGTCGTGCCAAGTCGTGGTCTCCTCAGCGCGCGGAAAGCTGATGATACATAGCGTTATCACGAGTGCCGCATGAAACAGGAAATATCTACAGACTAATCAGTTTCAAATTTCACCTTGCTAAGCAAGATGATATACTCACGTCGCGTACCAACCCTCGAGTCTATTCAATTCCTGCATCGCATATTGATGTATCGAGACAACTGTAGAATGCGCAGCTTCGAGACATATCCGCTTGCAGTCTTCTTGAGTCGATTGCGTAGCTTGATCTGGTATCTGGCCTCGCTCGGAGATCGCTCGGCGTAGCAGAATTTGTCGGAATATAATGATCTTGAGGTTCCAAAATCTCCACCACAGCCGAGACCGCGCGAACACATACCACTGGACTGACGAGCTGGGTGCTCGGGACAGCTGGAAGTATGGGGGAACTGTGTGTGTCCATGAATCCACAGAGCTGTTCAAAGCGAGCGCGGCCTCAGCGGAAAGCCCGGGCTCGGCTAGTAGTTTATTCGAAATATGGTTTGTCTGCAGGTGGAAACTACTCTGCGCTCTTAGCGACGAGTAGATGGTGGCCTCGTCAACCTCAGTAGGGAGCGTTACAGTTTGTGGCGTAAGCGACTAGTATCGGTCAGTCTCACGTCGTCTATGTCTCCTCCATTGGGCAGCCGTACCTCATCTTTAATGTTCAGTACCGAATGAACATCCATCGTCTCTTGGTCGGGTAACATGATGGCACGGCCGAAAGTCGTGGAAGCCCCACTATCAAAGATGTATAGGCCCCACCATACTCTACGTCTTGTCTCACGTTCGATCAGGGTAATGTTCCAGTGAGGAAGTTCCCTATGAAGTGCCAGGCTCAGCGCTGTACGAACAGCGAGACCTAGTAGATTCCATCCCGTATTTGGGCTATTGCGTTTCTGACTGAGGTTACTCAGGAGTATAAGTGCTTGCACAGATGTCAGGCTGGCGGCTTCAAACACCGACTCCTCTTGACCCAATGTCAAGGCCCGACGGTACAGGTAATCCTCCAGGCCGATTTGGTCGTTGTTTAATGTCCACGCACCAAGTGCTATAATTGCATGAGAAAGCATGTTCCACGACTTTTTTGAAGGTCGCGGAACGACCTCGTGATATTGAGCACGAAATGTTGCCTCGTGGACGAAGGGGTAGACAACGTGGTAGTTGGCAAAGTAGGCATCGATCAAGCTCGATGATAGTTGCGTCGTAAGAGCTGCGTGTGAGATGTGTGATGATGCTAACACGTTCCGGAAAGAAGCAGATGGGGTCGTCAGGTTCTGCTGAGGTCGAGCGACAGACTGATGCAGAAAGCCGGCCCAGTCAAGGAGGCACCGAAGAAAAACTACACCAGAAGTCGAGCCTACATCTTTTTAGCTTTGTTTGCCGACATTTGAGTGAAGCAACTGACCAAGATAACCTACACCAGTTGGCTCGACCGAAAGGGCGGCCATGCCATCCGTCAACCCATCCACGTTGACGTCTTCTTCCTGCCAATTAAAGCCATCAACGTTGTTTGGCACAGCCTCAGGAAGTGCAGGCTCATGTGTACTTGAGTTAGTACTGCCTTGCGGGCTTGGAGCTACCTCAGGCGTTTGGGACTGTATGACTGATCGTGCAGTACCAGCCACATTGGAAGATGACAACAGATCTTCGACATCGACGCCAGGTAACAACTGCGTGACCAGTGACTCCAAACTGTGCAGTCGCTTCTCTACACTCGTCAGATATGCCCTTGTCAAGGGCGATCTAGCGACTTTGCCGCTGTAATGGCAGTGCGAACCGCTATGGGCGCAGGAAGTGCAGATGGGCGCATCCTTCGAGCACTTTAACTTCTTTGCGCGGCAGCGATCGCATGAGAGAGCATCTCGTGGTCTTCGGTGCTCCATGCATGGAGCGTCTCTAGTGTAGCAGAGGTGGGGGCGGGATACGGATGCAGAACCATCGCAGCCAAGTGCAGCTCGAGCGCTGATCTATGCCGCCATCGGCCCGAGCGGCGGCACTGGGCGACTGATCAACGACTTTTGTTCGCGCACCACTTCTCAACGAGCACTCTGCTGGAACTTTTGGTTGCACCTCCATCAGGCAGCTTACCGCGACGCTATGCATGCAGCATCTTCAGTGGTGATATACTCTTGAAAACTTTGCAATGATAACCTGATTATCTTCCCTCTGTGATTCGTATCTGCAGGTAGACTATATCTTCTTTGAGCAATTCCCTCAGCCGATGGTACCTCCACGCACTGGAGAGCTCGACATCCAACGCTTCTACTTCAGCCTTCAAAGCTACTTCTCGAAGGCTTGATCATTTATATACTTAGGAACTGGAATCTTGGCAGACTTCGACATCTTCGAAGTTAAACCAAAGTTTGAGTGGGAGGCTGGGTTGCCCATCATGCGCTCCATCTCGTGGGCGTCTTCGCCATCTTCGCCTACACAAACGAGCAACGCCTTATACGTGTTCTCGGAGAATACGCTCGCTCGTCTTTGGTCACTGTGCCAGATTCTGAGCTGTATCGCGTGACAGTAGGTATCCGCCTCCATGACTTTAGCGGCGCCTTTAAACTCCTGCGAAGAATCAGTATTGAGCCTGCAGTCCCGTTGTGCGAGACGACCGTGCCTCATTCGAGAGCTTCAGTATCGTAACGAAGATCGAGCAGTGCCTCTCCCGGATTGAACTTGGTGCGATCGCCTCGCACCACAACTAATCTACTTTCACGAGCAGGGTGTTTGCAGAGTTCGCGCTTAAGAGGATTGGAGTCGTCTCTTGTATTACGCTGCGTTTGCGCAACCTCACCACAAGCTCTAGGCTCCACTCACATCTCGTGCACTAATTTGTCAACAGGCCAATCTCTCATGCAACGACAAACGCAGAACAGGAGAGTCTGTCACGGATAGCAGCGGCAGTTGAAAGCGCCGTCATCGTGCAATATTTCGGAAAGATCTTGTTTTGGTCGTTGATTCCAAGACCTTAGTGATTACACTGTCTTTTGGAAAGTGCGGTCGGCCTTCTCTCTTTACCTCGATCTTATCAAGGAACCTCCATTTTCACTCACCCAACCCGGATCACGAAGCGTATATTCCTAGGAGCACTAGTTATCCGAGCTTTCCCCCTCACTGGTCACACCCTACCTCTCTTACTATAACACTCTTACGTCTCTCCTGAACTCACCTCCTTCTTGAATTACCCCATCACTACAGGCTCATCCAGAAGAACACCACGATGCTTATCAAAATTATGCTGGTTGCTTCGGCACTTCTCTCGTCGACTACTCTTGTAGTTGCTCAAGTGATGGCACCAGACTTCACATCCGGCCGTTGTGGCTTCGATGCCATTGTCTCCCAAGATTGCGACAAGGACCAGATCACCACATTCCTCGACGTATCGCCTGTATATGATGGCGCTGGCAACGAATTCATGGAGAAAACCGACTCAATCGACTTGACGGACGGACTTACTCTGACTAGCGTGGTTGTGGGGAAAGAGCTGAAGATCGGATTTGAGAGGGACAGTGTCGGCTGTGAGTATTGTCGCAAATCTGCTGAGATATCTAACAGAACTGACGCGCGATAGTCCTTTATGGCGACGCTCACTGGCCCAGCCAGCACCAAGACGATGAGTTCAGCTGCACTACAACGTCATGGGACGGCTCACCGCTAAACTGTAACCACAAAGATCGTATCCATAGAGTGCGTAGTCTCCGGCTCTATTATGCAATCGTACTGACTGCCATTGAAGTCCCAAGCTCTAAGCTGTAGTTTCGATTGCGCGGTTCCTAGCCCAAAGTCGTCGATGAAGCGCGTTCGCAACGAGCCCCTTCCAGATATTCTTTCTTCCCCACTGGACTCTGTCGCGAGCGGCTATTCAACTGCCAACTACGCCCCGGGTTTCTGCTCCTTCAAGCTCCAACTCTTCCAGCAGTGTCTGCACACGCCCTCTGAAGGCTGGCACAATCAGATGCTCGGCATGCTCTACAGTGTCGAAGACCAAAACCGCGCCACTGCTGTTACTTATCCTGAGGGTACTGGTCGTATCGACGGTCGTGCTGTGAGGCTTGGGGGCATGGGCGGTTTGAAGGTGGCGTACAACCCGGAAGACAGGCAGACATACTTTCAGTTTGAGCCAAAGGGCGGCTTCTGGAGCACTTTGACTCAGAGCACCCCGGACGCGGTAGGCATATGCGATTGGAAGCCGTGGACACGCGACGAGACTGGTTGTGATGAGGGTCACCAGAACGACCACCCGCGGGTAAGTTCGCTTGGAGTGTTATGGTGGTATGATGCTAACAGCGTTGCAGCTCTCGGACATGACGTGCGGTTTCTTTTGTTAGGAGGTGCCAAGGGTGCTATGGGATGGACGTTGAAGGATGCGAGATGTTTTTGCTGTAGTCTTGTCCATTTCTGGTATGATTGAGTATCATGGAATTGGGCAATGTGTAGGTGCCAGCAATCAAGATGTCATTCAACTCGCACAAACACAAGCTCGTGATTGGCTGGGCTAGTACTTGCTGTGCCACAGGCAGAGTGCACGAGCGGATCACATGTCGCGAGCAGCAGGTACACCTGGACATCCGGACGGACCGTCGGTGGTTGACGTAAACAGGCAGCGGGCGACTCGGCTACTGGACGCGTACCCCAGTGGTTTGTCGAGAGGCGGTCGAGCAGATTCGCGACTGTTACGTGGTGTTTAGGACGAGGATTGGAGGAGCGGACACGCCATTCCGCAATAGCCAACGCCCCCGCGCTCGTGACCCGCTCCCGAGCACTTGCACGCCTCAGTACCGTCAGCCAGAAGTCGACGATAACAAATAGCAGAATTGCGCGCAGTCTTACACGTCCACCTTCCTGTAGGCGTTACCGCTGCGCAGACATTCCGCGCATTGCATGCAGGTACCGCGTCTCTGGAATTGAGGTGCCTCGGCGGTATTCCAGCCCTTATCAGAGCCAAAGTCCGCCAGCTCTCAGCCGTCGCAAGCCGACCGTAATCCACCACCACCATGTCGACTGCGGGCTCCAACGCTTCTCCACCGCCGCGGACACAGAACGCCCAGCACACGCGCACATACCAGGCCTGTATACCATGCAGGCGTCGCAAAGTGCGATGCGGTACGTCCGAGGCTGCCGTGAGCCTTATCGTCGCGCAATTGCTGATGTGTATTTCTTCTGCCTGTAGATCTTGGTCCCGTAGACAACCCGCATGATCCGCCCTGCGTGCGATGCAGGAGGGAGAGCAAGGAGTGCTTCTTCTCTGCCACGCGCAGGAAGCGCAAGGCCGACGGCGAGGACGACTATGACGACGCCGACGACTACGAGGTGCGCAATGGCAGGAAGCGCCAGCGCTCCGATGGCCTGCCAGAGCCGCTCACCATAACCACGGCCAACAACGCCGCCTACATCTCCCAGCCGCTGACTCCAGGCGGCTCCGTCGGACGATACGAGCCGCTGCGACGACCCAACACGTCGGCCGGCCACCAGCGCACCCCCAACGACGAAGAAGACCAGAAGGTGAACAACGAGACGGTCGCGACGCTCCAGGCCGGCGAGGTCTACAGCGGCCACGATGCCTTGAACCTGCTCTTCGAGGCCGCTGGCATGAACAGCCACCACCAGCGCACAGGCAGCAGCTCCAGTCTCCAGCGCCCGACGCTGGGCAGCACGCCAGGCTCTCAAACCAACTTCGCAAGCCCTAGACCCCAGACCTCACATGCGCGCGGCAATTCGCGAGCCACCGCAGAGCCATCGGTAGATCCCGCCATACAGCAACCCATGCTACCTGACCCTCCAAACGAAGCTGCCTTCGCCGATGCTGTGAGAGCCTGGTCAAAGTTCCGCTTTGTCCGCGCCGGATGGCTCACCGCAAAGGAAGCCATCGCTTACATCGACTACTTCTATGCATTTCTGTCGCCGCTTACACCCATCGTCGTACCAGACTATCGCGATCATGCCTTTCACGCAAAGTTGCTCAAGGAGGAGCCGATGCTGGTCATCACTCTCTTGACCATCTCCGCGAGGTATTCACAACCCAGCGGTTCGAGCGGCGTGGGCGCCACATCTAGGTCATATCTCATTCACGAGAAGCTATGGAAGTACCTGCAGGGTATGATAGATCGCATGATCTTCGGACAAGAGCAGTTTGGCGGCGGCTTCTGTGGCGCCGGTCAGCAGCCTGGTTCTGATGTGAACCCCCTATCAAGAAAGGGCCTTCGTACGCTTGGTACAGTCGAGAGTCTGATGCTACTTACCGAGTGGCATCCTCGCGCACTGCATTTCCCCCCTGGCGATGATGACGATGAGCTCGTCTTGCCCGACGACCCGTACGAGGCTGGACCTAAAGCTGAAATGTATAAAGGTGTGGGCGACAAGCGTATCGACAGTTGGCTAGAGCCGTGCTGGCGAAGTGATCGCATGTGCTGGATGCTGCTGGGCAACGCCATGACACTCGCTTTTGAGATTGGTGTTTTCGACGAGACCAACGAGACTGAGTTCGAAGAGGCCAACCAGCATCTTTCGCACGCGACTGTAAAGGCCTACTACCGCCGGAAGAACCATCTTCGCGACTTGCTCATCATCTATGTCACGCAGACCAGTGGCAGACTGGGTCTCACATCCATGCTTCCCAAACTCGAGCGTGACGAGAACCTAGTGGGCGGCCCCTCACCACTCGAGCTGTACAAAGAGCGCATCAGCCGCATCAAGGCACCTCCAGCACAATTCGGCATGCGCTCGGATGGCCAGCGCCTTCCGCTCGAGTCTATCGCGACCCAGGAGCGCCATGCCGTACAAGATCTTGTGCTTGACTTCTGGGCTCGTATCGCTAAGGTCATGGAGATGGGCAACCTGAAGTTGTTCTCTAACCGACGTAAAACAAGAGAGCTGCTTAAGACGGGAG